TTTCCATTCTGACCTACATGTACAAGCACTAAAAACACGCTAATTGTTATAACTGTAAAGAAGAAAAGGAAGCCGATGACCAATATGTTTAACCAGTGTGTGCAATAAACATTGGCTTGTTCTGTAAGCCAACTGCGCTACTATTACACACCGTTCTAAGTCAAATAATTTAGCCTAATAATTCAAGGTAGACTACGAGTAGTCCCCCATTTTTTCTCACAGATAGTAGAGCAAGCGAAACGCGAGCGCGCGTGAAAATCACCCCACGCGAGAAAAGGCGAAGCCCAAGCTTTTGAACTAATGCGTTGCTCTCACAACGCAAAACTCTGATTGGCTCTTCCATGGAAATCTGTCAACATCTGTCAAAAACGCGCCAGCCGCTATTAACACTCGACATAATCACAATACAAATAACTACAGTTACTCTTGTAGAAGCAACTAAGCAGAAAGCCAACCCGGCAACTGACGAGGTTCGCGTGGAGAACCGAAACCATGGTCTTGCCTGATCACAAAGTGGGAAAAACAAAACAGTCGCAAGGCTGTTAAGCTAATTCAGAAGTTATCACCAAGGGAGGAACTACTTGCTCCAGTCCAAAGACTCACATTATCTCCAGAAAAACAAGCGGAAGTTAAAATTCATGAGCAGTCATAACTGTGTCACATCGCAATTCTCCATAGTTGATGTAGTTTTAGTTTAAGCTGCAATCCAGTCTTCGAGATTTGGATGTCAATATCCGTCCTGCTAAAAACGCTAACGAGCCCAGCGTGACAAAACATTGCAGGAAACCGTCACATTCACGGCCAAAAAGAAAATCGCTTAAAATTATTCAAATCCAGGAGGCAATCGCCGAAGAAATTAAACAACCCCAAACCCTTATTTAGCCGCATTGACGAGCGTTACTTTTCAAAAGAGGTCAAAGAAAATGCTGTTGCTTCAGAGGGCAAGTCATGCCGACCATAAACAATAACCTCAGAAAATTAATATGCGTGTCACGACTTCACATTTGCTCAGTCAAAACGTTTTCCTCCAGACATAATCTACCCGTCAGAGAAAAAAAATTCATTAGAACAACCAGCATTTTGGCATGAGGTAAAAGTCGTGTGTTGCCTACACTGTCAAGACCTTCACGCGAAACAGCCGTTAAGAAAATTAGTATCTGGGTTTTCTTTTGCTTGCAATAAATATCCCCCGCAGCTTACCTATGACAAGAGCAATGACAGCTCAATAAGGGAAGGAATCCCATTGGATGCGCTTAATTGATTTGGAAGGGGATACGAACTTCACACTCCAAAATCAGTCGCCCGTGAAGGGTCAAAAGCTTGGGCTTTGTCTGTAGTCCCTCATTTTTCTCTCTCCCCGCCGCGTGTCGCCTTTTCTCGCGTGGGATGATTTTCAAGCGCGCTCGCGTTTCGCTCGCTCTACTATCCCTGAGGAAAAATGGGGGACTACTCGTAGTCTAAATTCAATATTATTCGTAAATGTATTCGCTCTGGCTACAAACTGTAATAAATTATGCCCGACATGCCTTCGCCTCTTTCTACAATATTCCCTCTCCTTTTTCTGCCCGCTCTATTTTTCATGCTCTCTCCTCTATTTAAAGGCCTGGAAAAGTCTAGAAACTATCGACTGACATGAATTCGGTTGAGAGAGCGAGAAAATAACTCTAAAAATGGTTAAAAAATAAAGACGCTAGTCTTTTCCTGGAAAAGACTGATAAAAGGTGAAGTTGAGGACAAAAATGCCAAATTGTGTAATTCTTAGTGTAAATAAGGCTTTGTTCCTTTTGGAGAACTTAATTGAACATTCTTTTACGATAAAAGGGTTGTCGTGGAAGTCGCGAAAGTGTACCAAAATAGAACATATTTGTTTAAGAACGAATTCATGAAAGGAAAAGGTTTATGTTGATGAATATTTTATGCATCGAACTTGTAAAGGTATTCTTAACAACTAATAATAGGTGAATATTCGTGATATATACCTGACATTACATCCCAATAAAATATCCCTTACTTAACTAATCATACTGTTACCACTTAAGAAATCCTCTTAATTTTAAGCATAAACCAAAGTGGGTGAGAGTAAACTAGATCAAGGCTAAAATTTACATTGCCTGCATTTTTAATTTATTGTTTAACATACTTCTGCCTTGTTGTTCTTATTGTAATTGGGTTCAACAGAAGGAGGACTTTAATTCAGACGTTTGGGTCACATTTATACATTTTCGAAAACAGCTTCAGTCTCAAAATTTACTGGAAATTAGGTCGTCGCAACATAAGCCCAACGTTTGAATCAGTCAGCTGTCAGAATCGTGTAGCGCGGCAGACGTTGTCGAGCTTGATTGCTCNCAATATTATTCGTAAATGTATTCGCTCTGGCTACAAACTGTAATAAATTATGCCCGACATGCCTTCGCCTCTTTCTACAATATTCCCTCTCCTTTTTCTGCCCGCTCTATTTTTCATGCTCTCTCCTCTATTTAAAGGCCTGGAAAAGTCTAGAAACTATCGACTGACATGAATTCGGTTGAGAGAGCGAGAAAATAACTCTAAAAATGGTTAAAAAATAAAGACGCTAGTCTTTTCCTGGAAAAGACTGATAAAAGGTGAAGTTGAGGACAAAAATGCCAAATTGTGTAATTCTTAGTGTAAATAAGGCTTTGTTCCTTTTGGAGAACTTAATTGAACATTCTTTTACGATAAAAGGGTTGTCGTGGAAGTCGCGAAAGTGTACCAAAATAGAACATATTTGTTTAAGAACGAATTCATGAAAGGAAAAGGTTTATGTTGATGAATATTTTATGCATCGAACTTGTAAAGGTATTCTTAACAACTAATAATAGGTGAATATTCGTGATATATACCTGACATTACATCCCAATAAAATATCCCTTACTTAACTAATCATACTGTTACCACTTAAGAAATCCTCTTAATTTTAAGCATAAACCAAAGTGGGTGAGAGTAAACTAGATCAAGGCTAAAATTTACATTGCCTGCATTTTTAATTTATTGTTTAACATACTTCTGCCTTGTTGTTCTTATTGTAATTGGGTTCAACAGAAGGAGGACTTTAATTCAGACGTTTGGGTCACATTTATACATTTTCGAAAACAGCTTCAGTCTCAAAATTTACTGGAAATTAGGTCGTCGCAACATAAGCCCAACGTTTGAATCAGTCAGCTGTCAGAATCGTGTAGCGCGGCAGACGTTGTCGAGCTTGATTGCTCTGCCGAACCAAACTGTTCAAAACTTTGATTCAGACCTCGTGCTTCTGCCGTGCTTTTGTCGAGCAGAATAAACCCTATATCCTCGGTTTTTTCAAATTTTGACTGAGACCAGATAAAAAATCCGTATTTGATATCAGTGCGCGCCTTAGCAGGTAACATTTCGTTATTGCTCACCTAGCCTCCCCGCAGACGTCCTTTGGGGTTCGTTCGTCACGCATTCATTTGGGGGAGAAATGAATGCGTGACGAACGAACCCCAAAGGACGTCTGCGGGGAGGCTATTGGTCACCTTGAGAAATTAAAGTTTCCCGGAGAGCATCATGTAAAGCTCTGAGATGGGACAAAGTTATTACGATTCGCAGAGTCTGCATCGTCCAATATCGTATTGTATTCTCGTTTCATTTGGTTAAACGGATCAATCACCCTGATCCGGGCTGAGACAAAGAGATACGATATTGTTCGCTTTTCTAAGATGACGACTAAGTCTTTGGCCTCGGAAACAGGCTCTTGGGAGTCAAATGAATAAGGCGAGAGCAACATTGCAGGTAAACTTTGACCCAGTGTTTTTTCTAGTGTAAAAACAAGTTAAGGTCTATATGCTAGTCTGCCTAACCGTGTGATTGTACATCCGGGAATTTGAATAAGACGAGTGTACGAGAAAGCACTCTGGCTTGCCTGGAATTTACTCGATGGGCTTTCCCCTTTGATACATCACAAATACACGAAAATAACATATTTTTCTTTTAAAAAGGCTTACCCACCCAAATTCCCAGGGGCCATTTTCATTTTCTTCACTTTGTTTATTTTCAAACTGTATTCTCCCTATTGTCTTCGAGGGCTGACGCCAGCACTTACTTTCAAATTGAAACTCCTAGGTACTCGAAAATTAGTTACCTCTAAAATGGTTAATTTTGCGCCAAATCGAAACACAACGTAAATATCTGGGACTCCCTTTCCTACCCTACTGAGCTTTTTTACCCCTACCCCAGAGGAAATACTGACGTGATAGCAAACTTTCTAGCATCGATAGGTTTTCATTTGCTTTAGCTATGGGGCTTCGCTGCGAGTGCGCGGACGCTCCGAAATAAGAATTAAGGCTGGCACAGCAGAAGCGAGACGTACTAACTAGGCCTTTAATTTTCGTGAGGTTAAGGAGCATTTGAAGTTAATTGACTCACAGGTACGGATTCCGCTAGGACTTCATGCTTGACAGCATTCCTAACTTTTATCCCCTCTTTTTTAAACAGAAAGACTCCTGTTAATCCCCTAAAAGTGTTTCATCTCTTAACGAACTGCCCAGCGATAAAAGTAGGCCAGTGTGCAGTGGAATTAATGTAGAAATTCTATAAAACCGGCTGGCCAGATCGTAAAAAAACGGTGAGTTCTTCCATAGAACTTATCTAGTAAACGTTCGGAATGTAGAACATGTAGTCTTAACGAGATCTGCGGCAGTGAGTCAAACCACAGTGACCATGTTAGTCTCACGAGAGCAGTTAGCTTTATCGTAAAATTGGGCGCAACTAACCAGTGAAACAGTTCATTCTACATAGTCTTTAAGGCACTAACGACTCGCCAGGATTTTTGGACCATTTGATAATTAACCAGCCTGACACAACGTTCGGGTTTAGTGGGTGACTTCTAACCTGGTGCAAATTTTGTGCATCGTTCGTAGCAAGGCTTTACTGTTTATTTAACATCGTTGAAGTAAACAGAGCTCTGATTATTGACTTTACTTCTGTTTTGATATTTTTTAGCTTGGATCGGTTCACTCTACATGTCACTCCCCTGGATTTTTGGACCATTGGTAACCCGTCTGATGAAACGTTTCGGATTTAGAATCACAGCCATAAGTGGTTGTCTTATAATCTCGATCAGCTTTTGTGCAAGCTCCTTTGTGGACAATTTTTGGTTTTTCCTTGTTTTATTCTCGGTAACTGGAGGATTGGGCTCAGCAATGTCCTACCACTGCAGTGTTCTAGTTGTTCTGAGGCACTTTGTGAAGTGGCGTTCTCTTGCGGTTGGAATAACAGCCTCGTCATCAAGTGTAGGCATGTTCGTCGTGACACAACTCACAGAGGTTCTCATTTCAAATTATGGATTTAAAAATGCTCTTAGAGGGTGGGCCATCTTGTTTTTCTTGGCAACCCCACTGGCGTTCTCTTATGACNAACTTTACTGAATATTTTTATACAAATAACACTTTCATTAATCCTTTCTCTAAAGACACTTACCTGCAACAATTACCTAGAATATGGTCCTTGGTCCCCACCCCGCAATATAAGGGGGACTACAGGAACTCGAGGAGTAAGAGATAATTGCCGGCGTCATATCCCTGTAAGCTTTGTAATAATTGCCGTAATATTCTCTAACCCTTTTACGCTTACATCAAGACCTGAAAACGTTTTATAAAACTGCAACGTTAAGGCTGCTTAAGTTAGAAAACATTTATGTTACCAGAGAAGACTGGCGCTTAGGGTTGGAAGGTGTAGGGTGGGAATAAGCCATTCCCTAACGTACATTGACTATATTGACTGCTATCGCTTGGTCAATATCTGAGATTTTGGCCTGTAACGACCTCACTCTCTGTTAATAAGTGGTATATAATCGCCAGTTACTGAAATATTTGGTTGTTTTTGCCCTTGTAGGTGAAATTTTGTGAAAGTGAACTTGGCATTTCGTCAGAACGAGGCTCCATGCTATACACCTACATGGCGATCTCTTACTTCTTTAGCAACCACTTGTTCTGCAAGCTAAGTGAATTCAAATTCATCAACATCTTTGATCTTTATCAATTTTCAACGACATGTCTCGGCGTCTGCTTGTTTCTGTTACCCGTGGCAACATCTTACAAAGCTGTGGTGGTGGTATCTGTTATGTTTGGTCTCATGGATGGTGGACGATACGGTTTAATGCCACTGATAGTGTTGACATGTGTCGGACAGAAGAGAATTGACCAAGCTTGGGGCTATCTTACTCTTTTTATCGGTCTTTCTAGTGTCATAGGTCCAGTTTTTATAGGTAAGTTATATTTCGTTCAAGAGTTTACTAATAGGCAAAACTCACCTTGTAACTGCGTCTGCACGTGCAAGGACAGACCTTCTTTCCGTAAGGTTTTCACTATACAACAACGGCAGCAACCGATAGCTAATATATGAGGACAGGGTTTGAATACAATTTCTTAACGCACCTACAAAATTTGTCTTCTTATGCAAAAAAAACTATCTATGATAACAGAGCAGTGAAACGCCGACGCTGCTTAGATTCCAAACACTTTTGAACACCGCGACCTCTTTTTTCGGCCTGACAATTAATGATTTTCCAGGTTTTAACCTTTTGTAAGCGATCTCTTGACGCATTCTCTAATCTCTATTTGCGCTGTGTGCGCTATGGTACTTAGAATATCGAAGAACCTTAGCGATAACATGGAACAACACATATCCTAACTTAGACATTGCATGCAATAAATTATCTTTCATAAAGTAGATGTGCCTGGACCTCTTCTCAGAAGAGACCCCTGTGGGTCGATTCTTGTAAATGACCACCTCCCGTAAGCGACCACTCAGTCTTTGCATTTTGGGTGGTTGCTTACAGGAGGCCTCGACTGTTCTTACGTAAAGCACGTTCTCACTTAGCAACATTGACATAACTATAAGCACAAGAAAAACAGGTTCTTAAAGTTAATAGAGAGCTTTAGATTGCAAGACGAGTATGACAACGAGTACGAGATTTTCTCAATACTGCGTAGTGTAAGCGCGTGGGCCAGCGTCATTCTGGCGGGAAAACGTGGTAACCGTCGTCACTCTACTACGAGTTTTAGCGAGAATGTCGAAGTGGCGGAAACAAGTTATCAAATGTTAGAAGTTTTATCAATTTGCGATCGGGGAGAAGGTGTAACCTCCTCCACTAAAGGTAACAGTGCTAAGTTTTCCAGTGAAAAATGGTCAAATGAAGCTTTCCGGAGAGTCCATATTTTCAGAATAGGCGAAAAAACTTAAAGTCAAATCTCCTACTCGTAATCGTCCTCTTTCTGGAATCTAAAGGTCTCTAACATTTCCAAACTTTCCGACAGGTTTCATAGCTGGCACTGCCCACGAGTACGGACCTGCCTTTTACACTGCTGGGGGAATCATGGTTTTCGGATCAACTGTTGTATTCCTTAACAGGTTGCTGAAGAAAGAGAATTTAGTTATAGAAGCGCATGAAGAGCAACACAAGTTTTTGGAATTCTTCGTTCAAGAAAAAGAAACCGTACTATAGTTCAGAACTGCGGGGACTGAAATGGTTTAACTATGCAGTTAAGAAACAGATCTAGAGCTACAAAGCAGCAGATTAAATAATTGGAACATGACATTTTAAATATAACATTTTACTTAAGTATATTTTAAAGCAACATTCAAATTTTTAGTACTTTATAATAAAAAGTTCATATAAATGAGTTAAATGCATCCATGTCACTCCCACATAACGTATAAACCCTAAATATGCACTTTTTAACGTTGGTCCACTTGTTTTCTTATTTCAGACCACTTGATGTTACTGAAAAGAACTTGTTTTTCATACTGTTTTTACAGAACTTTTCTGCTCGAATTGCGACAGTACGCGCAAATATGATCACATTACACCAGTTTTAAAAGAGTTTAAATGGCAAGCAGTAAACTCAGTTAAACTTTATTAACGCTAGCATGGCCTTTAAATGCCTTACTTCCCGCAATCCCGCGTGCTGGAGTACCTTTTCTCCCAGTTCATTAAGCGTAAAAAGTTAGAAATGGGAGGGAGAGAAAAAATCGAGTGAATAGGCCATTTTACAGTTATGGATGGAAGCGAGGCTGAGGGTGACCTTGTTTTGATACAAACCTTCCTGCTTTATTATGTAAATCAAGTTACTCTTATGCTAACTAGTATTTTTCAAGAACAATTTCCAATTTATTTTCAAACTGTATTCTCCCTATTGTCTTCGAGGGCTGACGCCAGCACTTACTTTCAAATTGAAACTCCTAGGTACTCGAAAATTAGTTACCTCTAAAATGGTTAATTTTGCGCCAAATCGAAACACAACGTAAATATCTGGGACTCCCTTTCCTACCCTACTGAGCTTTTTTACCCCTACCCCAGAGGAAATACTGACGTGATAGCAAACTTTCTAGCATCGATAGGTTTTCATTTGCTTTAGCTATGGGGCTTCGCTGCGAGTGCGCGGACGCTCCGAAATAAGAATTAAGGCTGGCACAGCAGAAGCGAGACGTACTAACTAGGCCTTTAATTTTCGTGAGGTTAAGGAGCATTTGAAGTTAATTGACTCACAGGTACGGATTCCGCTAGGACTTCATGCTTGACAGCATTCCTAACTTTTATCCCCTCTTTTTTAAACAGAAAGACTCCTGTTAATCCCCTAAAAGTGTTTCATCTCTTAACGAACTGCCCAGCGATAAAAGTAGGCCAGTGTGCAGTGGAATTAATGTAGAAATTCTATAAAACCGGCTGGCCAGATCGTAAAAAAACGGTGAGTTCTTCCATAGAACTTATCTAGTAAACGTTCGGAATGTAGAACATGTAGTCTTAACGAGATCTGCGGCAGTGAGTCAAACCACAGTGACCATGTTAGTCTCACGAGAGCAGTTAGCTTTATCGTAAAATTGGGCGCAACTAACCAGTGAAACAGTTCATTCTACATAGTCTTTAAGGCACTAACGACTCGCCAGGATTTTTGGACCATTTGATAATTAACCAGCCTGACACAACGTTCGGGTTTAGTGGGTGACTTCTAACCTGGTGCAAATTTTGTGCATCGTTCGTAGCAAGGCTTTACTGTTTATTTAACATCGTTGAAGTAAACAGAGCTCTGATTATTGACTTTACTTCTGTTTTGATATTTTTTAGCTTGGATCGGTTCACTCTACATGTCACTCCCCTGGATTTTTGGACCATTGGTAACCCGTCTGATGAAACGTTTCGGATTTAGAATCACAGCCATAAGTGGTTGTCTTATAATCTCGATCAGCTTTTGTGCAAGCTCCTTTGTGGACAATTTTTGGTTTTTCCTTGTTTTATTCTCGGTAACTGGAGGATTGGGCTCAGCAATGTCCTACCACTGCAGTGTTCTAGTTGTTCTGAGGCACTTTGTGAAGTGGCGTTCTCTTGCGGTTGGAATAACAGCCTCGTCATCAAGTGTAGGCATGTTCGTCGTGACACAACTCACAGAGGT